TCCATTAAATTTATATAAAAACTCTCGTATTCTATTTCTTATTTTATTCATTCCTTATCTTTCTCTTCTCCACGGAATAAAAAGGAAAATCATCAAGAATCCCATTTTGTTAAATTGTGAAAGTTACGGTAATAATAGACTTACTCATAAATTAATTGAGGCTACTATCGATCGCTTTGGTGCAAAGTCCATATTCCTGATAGCAATGGCTATATACTTCATGCACAAATTTTTTATTGAATAAATTAATTTGAGCATCGCTGTGTTCATCAAATAAATGACTGAAATCTTCACATTGTGCTGAAAAATGATTACACCAGCAACTTATGTTGTGAATTTATGACTGGCCTTTATTAAAAAATATAATCTTCCGTAACTGCATATTAAAAAAATTAGTTATTTATATTAGATTTTGTATTTTTAAGATCCTTTCTAAATTATCTTTATTATAAATATAAAAAAAAGCGCAACTAAAATATCATAGATTAAAAAATATATTTTAAAAAATATTGATACAAAAAATAGTTAAATTTATTTATATATTTTTATAAAAAAAATATGTATATATTTTTTCTTATAATAAAAAATAAAGGGAGTATGAATTAAACATTTTCCTTGGGAACTGCAAAACACTTTGTAAACCACAAAACCTGATTGTATTTTTTTTTTTTTTTTTCTAACACGGTTGGGGTTTCGTAGAAAAAAGAAAATTCCGTCCAGTTGTGTTAGGACTTAGAAGAGCATGTTTTTAAGTGTCTTTGTTTTTTAATTCCACATTCTAATACATAATCAACAAAAATGTATATTTTCATATGTAATTCGAATATAATTTTTTATATTTATTTTTTTTTACCTTTTTTTTTTTATACTCATTTTCTATCTATTTCCTTCCCTGTTTGCATTACAGTTCCAATCACATTTATCATTTTTTTTCATCTCTTTTTTTAGAGTGCATGCATTCAAACTTCAAAGAGATTGTCAAATCATTTAATTTAGCCATGAATTAGTCTAGGACTGCCAATGGCTGTCATTCTTTAACATATCCTTTTATATAATAGAATCATATTCACTCTCACGGGTATATATATAAATCTCCCTAACATGACATCTATTAAATTTGTTGTCATATCAAATCTAGTATAATCATATATTATAAAAATGATAGATTGCTACTTAGGTGATCAAACTAAATATCATTTGCTTATAAAGTTGATGATCTGAATTGGAGACCAGGGCAATCCCATCAGAAAAACATAAAGTGAGAAGGAGGAAAAAACGTAGAAAAGGTATTGGAATTATCCAAGTGGGTACAAACTAAACTCAAATCAATTAGCAGGAGAGCAGTCCAAAGGTCAACTAACTAAGTCACTTCCTAGATGAAAGAAAAGTTACTCTAAACACATGAATCAATTCAGACAGAATTATTGCTGTTTAATTAATAGTTTTTAATTTGAATATTAAATATACAACTATATAAAATACTCAAAAGATAAAATAAAATTATTGACTATAATAATATATTAAATTTGAATAGAATTATCTTCTCAAATAGAGAACATAGTTTATGTAAAAATATGAATGGATGGAAAGTTGAAGTAAACACCAAATCTCATTAAAACATCTAAACATAGCAAATCCCATAATTGATACCAGTACTACTAAGATGTTGTTAGTCACAATGGATGCTGAAAAGCATCTGATTACAATTAGTAAAAAGATAGGTGGGGAAGTGAGAATCCATTTTTTGTGGCTTCCGGAGAAGAAGAATAACATAATTCTTTACTTGAGAATATTTATTCTAAGTTAAGATTCTCATATATATTCTCATTCCAAAGAATCTTTGAAACTTTCCTTTTCCTTGCTTTATTTTTTTTCCCTTTTCCCCGCGAGGAATAGCATTCTGTGGTCATTTCTCACTTTTTCAATTCAGCCAATGCCATCATGTGTGCCCTCTCAACCAAATCACAGCCAATAACTCTCAACAAATGGTTTTGCTCATGATTGACCATTTAGTCTACTAGTTGATTCTCACTGTGTCTTCTGCTGCTTCTAGACTCAAAAGTGAATCTATCTTACGTTAACTTAACATGTAAAAAAGTAATGAACTAAATATAACGAAGAAGAATAAAAATTTATGTCCCATGTCACAGGTGGGACATTACCATATTGTAAGATAAAGCTAGCCAATTGGATACTACTAGAAAGAGATAAGTACTCCTCGGTTCTGTACAAACACATACTCTTTAAAGATGCAAAAGTGTAAGGACAGTTTGGCAGCATCAAGTAAATTATGACTATCCGTATGGAAAAAAAAAAAAAAGGTTGCTACAAGAATGAACATGATATAAAAGCTGCCAAAACAAAGTTATGCCATAAATGGATTTAGTTTTGAAGAATTTGTAGCTTTTTGTGACTATCTACAAACTCAAACAGAATCAAAGCATGGTTTCAGCTAAAAAAGAAATGACATGAAAGTTGTAGCAACAAGTTTTTCTATGTATGGTTAATTATGATTACATAAAAAAAATCAATGATCATTGACCCCGCCACACAGAACCTCTAATTGCATGGTCAACAATGATATAATATTAAACATGCAATGCAGAAAGAACTTAAGACTAACACCAATTGGTAGATAGAAGCAATACCAAAAGGTGAACTTAAAGGTTAGTTTCCTTTATTCTCTTGCAATACATCCTCCTTTTGATTTTTTTTTAAACTTATGTTCTTTTCATTGTCACCTGAGAGTATAATATTAAACTTCACCTCCCGTATTTTTGCGATGGGATACATTCTATACTAAGAAAAAGCATACCTCTCTGAGTTACATGAAGAGCTATAACTTATAAGTGTAGATAACTTTATCCCTTTAACATGTGGTCAAGAATTTGATCCTTAGATGAGGTGTATGAAAAAAAAATTGTTTAGAAAATGTCAACCTCTTAAATAAATCTCAGTACTTTGAAGAATTAATTCTTAACTTTCTACCGGAGATACTTTGGTTTACCAAAAATTTATAATTTATAAGTGTTTTTGTTTATTTTTGATGAATTTTAAAGTTTTGTAGTAGTGCTGTACAAGACAACAACTTCAAATAAATGCTCTGGCCAAGTGGTTATACCAAGTCCATCTAAGGAGCAAATTCGATATCAAGACGGAAAAGTACCAAATCAATCCTCTTGCTCAAATTATTCCAATCCACATGCAAGAAAACTACTTAGGAACTCAGCTTTAACTTTCTCCAAAGTCTCTCGGGATTCTCCTGGCCGCATTAAATATTCTCAAAAATCAGAATCAAGAACAAGAACAAGGAGAAGTGATATCAAGATACTGTTCAAGGAATCTTTCGTTTGGTCTTTTTATTTTTATGGTTTCCATAACTTGTCCATAAATGTTTATCTTACTGAACTCTTTAGCACCTGATGAATGGTATCATCAATCAGATACGGTTTGCAAATGGCTCTCTACTCTTACATTTGTGTGATGACAAGTTTTTTTATTTTTTATTTTTATGAGCTATGTATATGATATCATGTTATACTCTAATTTATACTGTATTAGCTGTTAATCATTTAAATGCTCTTCGTAGAATTTTAATCACCTAGTATTACACTACTTGCTCTTATAATGTTATTACAGTACAGTGTACAACACTACAACTACATCTTTCCGAATGAATAATGCAGATTTGCATGCACTTCACATGCATTGCCTGTGGAAAGCGTGGCTTTAATTAAAACTGAATCAGATTCTAATACATTTTTCTAATTATTTTCATAGTGGTTTAGCAAGGTATATGCCATTTAGTGAAAGGGAAGTTCCCCATGGATAAGAACAAGTGTACAGAAAAAGGGGGAAAAAAAAGTGTGGTAACATAAGGAATGACAAATGTACCTATTCTTACACAAGAATCAGCTACATTAACCATGGTACAAGTCAAGGGCAAGGGAAGTGGTCCTAATCCTATGCTGCAGTACTGTATTTAACCAAATGCAAGTATAAAAGCAAGTACAATTCTATCTTTCCCTTTTTATTAGGTCCCTCTTGCTTAGGATTCCAGAGGCTAGTGCCTGTGTTTTTGTGCCAAAGAAAGAATGAAAAGTTCAGGGTCCATCTTCCTTATATTTTAAACGGTGCAGGCTGAATAAGTACCAAACTTATTGAAGGAGACAAAACAGAATGTGTTCTTATTCTATTCCTTACCTCCAAACAGTTCCATGAAAAGCATCTTCAAACAATTGCTTTTAACCTTCATTTGCATGGCATGGCATGGTATTCTAGTCAATGGAATCCTTCATCTATTGTTCTCCATATACAACCAATTAAGACCATACTTCATGTCTCTGTCTGCAAACTTTACCAAAGATAAAATTAAACCAAACTCCATAAACTACTAAAGAACTATGTACATTTAAGAAGGACTTGAAAAATGGCATTAAGATCAAGTTGTAGAACAACAGATTTAGGCTTCTAAGAATCTTCCTCTAGAACAAAAATAATGGCTACTCCAAGTCGAGAGGGATATCAGATTCCCTAGGGCTAGAAGCCTAGAACCAAGTCAGAAAAAAAAAAGGAAAAAAAAAAGGAAAATACTCCTTCAAATGTGAGCATATGATTCCCACTTTTACCTGGCAAACGAATAAGAATGCATATTGGGTTAAAATTTGAAGGATCAATTCTGGAACCTAATGCAGTTTGGAAATTGATATTTGCACATTACTTTTTATACATATCTAAATATTAAAATGATCAGATTTATATGCAATTCCTGCACAGGAAACCCATAATGTGTGTGGATAAAGGTTGTTTATTATGGAAAAAAAATATTATTTACGAAGTTTCATTACAGAGGAACTCAAATGGACAGCACTATCTGAGAATGGAAAATGGAACTAGAAAATAGGGTCCACTAGTGAACAAAAGTAGGAAGGAATAATATCTATTTTCATGTCACCACACTGAGGGATTAAATTGGGTTTTCTATTGGTTCTATCCAAGATTCCATTGATTACTAGCTCCCCTCCAACTCTCAGATATAAATACCAGTTACACCATGCTTTCCACTAGAGAAGTGTGTATAGGAGAAACAAGACAAGCACAACAAGCATTCAGAAATTCTCTTATTTGTTAGTATAAGGGCTAGTAACAGATAATCTTGAATTTAAAGCTTCATCTAGTTTCATCTTCCATAAGTAGAAAAGTGATAAAGAGAATACCAGTCATCAGGTAATTACACAACTGGTCTTCGGCAGTGGGAGTTAAGTTGTTAGTTTTTATATGTTGGGGTGCTTATAAGTGGCTTTTGTAGGTGGGGATGTACCATCATCACCAACACCAAGGAAAAAACATTCATTCTTCTTCCAGAATGCCAATCCCCTCTGAGAGGCACATGTTCCTTCAAACAGGAAATGGGTCTGGTGATTCTGGACTAGTGCTTTCAACTGATGCTAAGCCTAGATTAAAGTGGACACCAGATCTTCATGCCAGGTTTATAGAAGCAGTCAATCAGTTAGGGGGAGCTGACAGTGAGTATTTACACATCGGCTTGTGGATCTCAAATCTTGAGGAACATACAATTTGTGTTCGCTAATGCAAATTATTACAATCTTTCTATTGCAGAGGCAACTCCAAAAACAGTAATGAAACTCATGGGGATTCCGGGGCTTACCTTGTATCATCTAAAGAGCCATCTTCAGGTAAAAAATCATCAAGGATCTGTATTGCATCACTTTAGTTATAAGAACTTGCAAACCATTTGAATTTTAGTATCACGGTACCTCCTAAGTTGAGAATCAAACATTGTTTTTGCTAACCAAAATCTCTACCTACAGGATACCTGAATTTTTCATCTCCAAACCATACAAGTTAAAAAAGGATGTTACACATTAAAAAACTTGCATATCAATTTGTTGTTTTGGAATTGGCATGAAAGTTTTCCCACACTATATTATGTAACGAAAATTATCGTAGGAAACCTGATATATTGTGTATAGAAGTCATGCACAAATCATGATCTATCCCTGCTTCGCCATAATCGATCATATTTGTAAATTTAATTCATTTATGATCTTGAAATCATTAGTCTCATGTTTCAGACCTTGTAACTTTGTAAGTTGTAATGACTATCCTGTATACTTCGGCTAGATTATATATCATATATCTGCAAAGTTATCATGTCTGATGCATCATAGAATTCTGGAAATTTGTTAATGGAAAAAAATAAATAAATAAAATTGTCATACATAACATGCACAAAGCTACAAACCCATAATCAATTTTCCATCTAAACTTGTCAAGTGCAATTACTGATCTTTTCCTTTTGTCACTAGAAGTACAGATTGAGCAAGAATCTGCATGGACAAAGCAACAACGTGACACACAAAATCAGTAAGAGAACAATCCTTTTCATTTTTCTGATCTACTAATGAAACAAAGAGCTGTTTTTGATGGTTAAACTTGCCTTTCAGCACCAAATGCATCAACTGCCGAGAGACTTTCTGAAACCAATGGAAGTCACATGAACAAATTAAGCCTTGGACCACAGACCAACAAGTAAGAAAAGCTAAACATTTTTGACATGCTTCATGTAATCTCATTAAATAAGAACTTTCTATTGCTTAAATATTTTATAGTTATACTAATATTCAACACCGTTTTGCCAGAGATTTGCATATAAGCGAGGCACTGCAGATGCAGATTGAGGTGCAGAGAAGGCTCAATGAACAACTTGAGGTAAATCTTGATAGCAACTTAATTACCATGCATGCATTTTCCATCCCATAATTATACTAAACCAGTGACCTGTCCAAATGATAAGCACATGCCTTTTTTCTTTTTGACTCAAAATTCTTTCTCAAATTCTTACAAATCATTCTGATAACCCTTTCAGGTACAAAGACACTTGCAACTTAGGATAGAGGCACAAGGAAAATACCTGCAGTCTGTGTTGGAGAAAGCTCAAGAGACTCTTGGCAGACAAAATTTGGGAATAGTAGGACTTGAAGCTGCCAAAGTTCAACTCTCTGAGCTGGTGTCCAAAGTCTCATCTCAGTGCCTTAACTCAACATTCTCAGAACTAAAGAAATTGCAAGGATTTTGCCCTCAGCAAACACAAACCAATCAGCCAAACGATTGCTCAGGGGACAGTTGCCTCACGTCCTGTGACAGATCACAAAATGATGGCTTAAGACACTTCAACAGCCATGTATTCATGGAACAAAAGGAGGCCACAGAAGCTCCCAACAACTTTAGGAACTCTGAACTCAAGTGGTGTGATGATGGGAGAAGGAACACCTTCCTTGCCCCATTGAGCAAGAATGAAGAAAGAAGAAGCTATGCTGTTGAAAGCAGTCCCAGCAACTTATCCATGTCCATTGGACTTGAAAGAGAAACAGAAAATGGAAGCAGCATGTATCCTGAGAGACTAATCACAGAAAGCCAATCAAATGGTGAGTTCCAGCACCGGAACAGAATCAAGACAGAAACAATGAAGCCAGTGAATGAAAAAATTTCTCAAGAGTATATGTTACCTGCTTCTTACTTTGCAGCAGCAAGATTGGACCTAAACACTCATGGAGATAATGAAGCTGCAACCACTTGTAAACAACTGGACTTGAATAGATTCAGTTGGAACTGAGAAGAATCAGAAGATACAGAAAGCAATTATGCTTCTTCAAAATTTGATTCAGCATAACGGGAGGATGATAGGAACACTGTGTTGTTAGTTACTACAATACAATTTCTGCTGCTCTTTCTTTCAACCCAACAAATGACCAGATGTAAGTCATTTTTAGCTAAATGAAATAAGATGCAACAAGACCAATGATCAATTTGTTTACAATTATTACAAAGGAGATAGCTCCAGCAACATCAGGTTTTGTTCTAGTTTATTCAAAATTCAAGACAACATGCATTATTATTCTAGAGATCCACTTCAACTTCTATTCAAATTTAAAATTAAAATGACGCAATTATATAAAGTGGCAGTAGTTTTATAATAAACATCACACCCCTCTAACAATATTTACATGTTACTCTTGTTAGAAAAAATTAAAGAGAATATAAAAAACGGATGAGATCGTTTTGCTTTTGTCACACAAGTTGCATGAATTGATATTATGATTATAGAGTAACATATGCCGGCTCTGGAATATACGGTCAATTTAGTACGTGTTTGGTTTCACGTTTCAAAAATCACGTTTAACATGGAAGCTACATAACTTCACGTTAAACGTGATTTTTCACGTTTCAAACGTGAAACCAAACACAGGCTTAGTGTTATGAGAATCGATTTTTTTAGTATTAAAATAATAATTAATTAACAAAATTTTTTAAATACCGATTAATCTTTAGTTGATTAATTTTTGTATCGAAATATAATCAAAATCTCACATCATTTGAATAAGAAGATGTACATAAATTTATATATACATAAGTTTTTAAAAGACCTTTTAAATAATATTTAAAGATAAAATCGTGAGAATTTAAATCCAAAATAAATAATAACTTATCATTATAGAGATGTGTGTAGAAACTTATACACAACACTTTGATTGTTGACTCACTGAATCATATCATGGAAAAAAAAAAACACACATAATCATTACATGATTTTTAATTAACACGCTAAATTGACATAATAACGATAAGTCTTTATTCTTTAATAGATATTAACTCACAACCTTTCATCTTCTAACCCATCATTAACAACTTTTTAATTTTTAGTTATTATTTGTGACAGTTCGCTATATGTATATAGTAATCATAGGTTATTTAAATTTCTTAACTGTTCATGTTGTTCACATGTATACGTGAAACAGTCATGATCTAATGTACAAACTGGACGCCCCATAAATTCCACGTCTGCCACCATTGAAAAGAAGGATATGTGGTGATAATAAATATTGGGTTTCGAAGGGCACAAAATTAGGGGTGAGCTGAGACCGAACCGAATCCGAAAAATCCGATAAAAAATATTGCTTATGGATGGGTTCGGACGGGTCTTATGGATAAATCGGGTTAAAATTTTGATTTTATACGGGTTATATTGGGCGGATTTGGTTTTGAATTTTTAAACTCGCTAAAAACTAAACTCAACCGAAAATGAGATAAGTTTAAATTTTTATTACTTTTGTATAACTAAACAACAATGGTCCAAACTTAAAAGTCTTTATTTCAATTATAATATAGCCATCAATTTGTAACTTATTTTTTTCCTTTTTCTCATAACTTAGATATTTATTTTATCTTCTCTTTCCTCATTCAACTTTTTAACACACTAGTCCATTTTGAGTACAACTTGTGCGACTGTGATTTTTTATGGATTTTGTAATCTAACTTTAGATTTCTTTTGCATGTAACAACTATGAATTTTGTTATCTTTTACTTTTTCTTCTTTAGTTTGTAAATGTTTCATCTACGAATCTATTTACACCATCTATTGTCACCTTCATTCTATTTTTATACACTTTTAAAAATATTTTTTTTATTGTTTTAAGCTTCATCTTCGTTAAAATAAATTAGTCTACAAAATAATTCAAATCCGATTGTACCCACCCGCTCAAATCCGAATCTGTTTCAACTCGAACCGTCTCAAATTGAAAGCTCAGTCGATCGGACTCGGATATGGGTCACATTTTTTCAAAGTCAGTTTACAACAGATTGGACATTTTTCACCCGAATCCGACCAAACCCACCCGTTACTCACCCTTACACAAAACCGTAATAGCCGAAATTATTGATCCATAAAACACGATGGGCCAGAATCCACAAGTTTCAAATTTTTGGGTCAATTCATGGTTTTGTTCATATCATACCCTCACAAGTAGTTGCTTTCAGTGAAGGGCAGAAGACTATTGAAAAATTATTGCATACACATGTTACACGCTTATACTTAATTAAGGATACCTAGACAATAAATTATTGACATATCATTATTTGACAATTTGTTAAGAACTTATTTGACTATTACATCTAATTTGGGCATTCAAATAATAGGGAAGTGTTTTCTTAATTTAGAGAAATGAATAGATAGAATAAAATAAAATAAAAACTTATTTTATTCTATAAAAAAAAAAAAAGCTAATCAGGCCTATCTAAAACATAACTTTCATGTGATCTTTTAATCATAAAGATATACATCAATTTTAACCTCTAACAGTTGTTCTACTATAACATAAAGAGGACAAAGGAGCTTATAACTTTGATCGAAAAGATGTTTCAACAACTTAGGGATGAAGAAGTTTCATAGTTGTCTAGCGAGTATGGTCACACGCAAATACTCTAATGTTTTACCATACCCACGAAGGAGGATCCTCATGTTGTATAATGAGAGAGAAGTTAGGTAAAAATTGGTCATCTACCTATCAATTAAGTATAGGTGTAGCCAGGATACATTGTTAAATGCCAACTGCCACTGGTGAACCTATGTGTTGTTAAGGGATTGTAAATGCACATCTCTTGAAAAAACTAAAAATATGTATGGCTAAAATACATTTTTAAATAAAATACATTTTTAATCCTTATAATTTTATTTATTTTATATTTTAATTTTTATAATTTAAAAGAAATATTTTTAATCTCTATATTTATTTATTTTAATAATTTTTAGTTTTTGTTGCTATTTTTTTTTATCACAGTTAATGTGATAGAAGTTTTCAACATTATATTTATGTTTGAATTTATTTTATTAAAATTATTCTTAATTTGATTTTTTGACGCTTACATGGATACATCATTTAAAAAAAAATGAAATGTCAAAAATTTTAGTAAAATAAATTCGACATCATAGATATAAAATTGAAAATCTCAACCATATTAACACAAAATAAAGAACAACGTAAAAAATCTTAAAGTGGGTTTTTTTTAAACTTAATAATAATATATTTTGATAAAAAAAATAAAAATATTTTAGAGATGTGTCTTAAAAAAATTATTATATTTATATATTTTTTACTGACAAACATTTAAAGCAAATTTTTAAGAATGTAAAAAGTGACTTTTAAATTATGCATAAAATATTTTTTTTGAGGAAGTTTAAAGCGTAAATTTTGTTAAACTTGTCCTTGGATTGACCTTAATTCACAATACAAAAAATTAATGATAAAAACTAAAAAGAAATTAAAAAAAATATAAATATAAAAACTAAAAAAAATATTTTAAACTACAGAAAGTAAAATAAATGAAATCATAAGACATATATTTTAAGTAAAATAAGTGAAAATATATTTTAACCGTTATATATTTAGTTTTTTGTATTTGTCTTTGTCCAACTAACATATATATGTTACTTTTTGTTTCATTTTTAGCTCTACGTGTACTTTACATTTTATTTAATTACACATTTCATTCACCTTATTACATTTCATTTCTTTTCTTTTCACAATAATGATTATCATTAATTTTTTATTTTTCTAAAATAAATTGTCTACACTTCCTAAATCCACCACTGCCAACTATCGTGGTTTGATGTCGAGGTGCATGACCAAGTTCCCAAAGCAAGTAAGCAACGCTCCACAACAACAATATTTACATCAATTCCTTCAATTATAAATTTAATTATTTATTTAAACATACATGAATTTAATTAGTTATTTAAACACACATCTCGAAAATGTCTTAAAAATCAAAGAGGGTTTATGAATTTAATTCCTTTCACTAGTTTTACAGACAACAATCATGTTCATACAGTTAGTCTTGTTCTGTGTGGTCGTCGTGATATATCTGTTAGCTAGTCTCTTTTATATGTATTTTCATATATAGTTTTTATACTTTGCTGCATTATGCATGTTTGTGCTGGCTTAGTGCCCTAAGTACATTTTGTACTAAGTGTTCCATCCGTTTTAATAAATTCTTTTTGCCTAGAAAAAAACTTATATACCGAGAAGTTTTTATGTTATTTATTTATATTTTTTGGGTTTAATTAAGTCTAATTCTAGCTAATGTATGCCTCTCCTTAGAGGTGGTTTATATCGAATTCAAACTCATAATTTAATAAGCTCAACCTATTTTTGCAAGTACATGCTTTTATATATATACATGTGTGTGATGTGCACAATTTGAAGTAAGTTTTTTTATAAGATAAAACTAATTCATACATAAATTAAACATGATTTTTTTGGTAAACTAATATGAAAAATCTTTTATAAATTAGTTTAAGTGTATAAACTAATTTTAACTTATAGAAAATTTTATATATTTAATAAATAATTAATCTTTTTCATATAAAGAACACATACATGTGTTGCGTCTCGATTGAAATCTAGTGGCATTTAAAATAATAGCTTTAAATAATAAATAGTGAAAATCAAAGAAAAATAAATAAATAGTGGGCATATACAAGAAAAATGGCAATATATAATAGAAAAGGGTAAAGATATGTAGGGGATTGAACGAGATGAACTGTTCCCCTTTGCATTTTTTTTTTGTTTCTATAATTAAAGAACACATATTTAGTATAAAAAAAATTAAATAATAATAATATATTCTCTTGTTATTGGTTTTAGTTGAAGTGCATTTTTTTTAATTAAAAGAATAAAGAATATAGTTCATTTGATTCCAAAAATGAGAAATTAGAAAGTGGGTAGAAAAAGTGGGATGGGGCAACCCTATAATCATATGTGACAAATGTGGAAATGGACATCCATAATCTGGGTGCATCTTCCAGACATGCAAAAACAAGAATACAATTTAAACAAGATCCAAATCCACGCAATTAACTTACATGGTACATGGTGTAATATTTTGAGGATGACTTTTTGCCAACCCCTTGTAAAAACCTAAAATATCTTGGTAGTTGGCCTCCTCTCATCCATGTCCACATCTCTCTTCATCAAATCAATTCCAATAAAAACTACGACAATTGAAATTAAAGCACCAAAAATCTTCACACTTTCCTCGATCCATGTCCACCTCACAAAAACCCTAAATCCAACCTCTCAATCAAACTTAAACTAAAATCTTTTCCTTCTTTTATTTCCTAGCTACGTACGTTACGACAAAACCACACAATCTATTTCTCGAAGACCACTAACTTACGTAGAACCGCCACATGCCATACAAAAACACGTATGCGACGTGTACCCTAAAACACCACTCAATGCTATATATTATTCTCCTTGCATAAACCCTGCTTATAGCTAAGCTTCTCCATAGCTACAACAACAACAACAACAATCACTTTGCCAATGGAAGGAAACAAAAAATTGTCCCACGACATGCCTATGATAAGGAGTTCAACAAAACTCACTTCCCATTGTTCCCAAAGTAGTGATCCTTCGTCATCATTGTTTTTCCTTGAATCAAAAGAGAAGCTCAAGAATAAGACTCAAGAATGCAAGTCTCTGAACACTAAAGAGAATGATGATAAGGGCAAGGATAAAGAAGAAGGGCATGAGGCACGTGTAGAGGAAACGGGGCGTGAGAGGCTGAAGAGGCTTCGGGAAGAGGTGATGATGGAGAAGGTTAAGATACCAGAAAAGTGGGGTCAAGAACAAATGTTGAAGGATTGGATGGACATTACTATGTTTGATGCATTCTTTGCTCCTCCTCATAGCATGATTGTCACGGCTCGTGATGCTCTTATTGCTAATGCACGTAAAGCAAAGTCACCTAGATTAAGGATCTAGAGTAGTTGCTAATATATATTAATTTCTTAATTTTGACTACCTACCTCTAGACAATATAGTAGTGTATGTTGTTCTTCAAATATTTACAGGCACTGGCTATGGGAGGAATGATCGATATATGTTCTCAATATTCCCAGGCCTGGATCTGATTCTGATCTTCTTTCTTCCTCTGGTTAGTAAAACAATATATGTGAACACTTGCTAATTATAACTTATAATATGATTTTTTTATGCACTGATTATTATATATATGTTCCTTGGTGTGTGTTTGGGTGATTTTGGCAAAATATATCATGAAATTTGATTTTGTAAAATTGATTTTCAATGTCCATAAATTACCTTAATTGGCTTATATTTCAATTTGTTTTTATGGATGATGACTTAACATGAAACCAAATTTTCAAACTGATTAAGTAACAAGCTAAATTTTTTCGAGGTGAAAAGATCATCAAACTGATTAAGTACATTTTTTTTCCGAACAAATTAATTTATATAATATGAATTAATCAAGAGTTAACTGCGTACATTGCTTCCTATTAATCTTAATATTCTTAATCATGCATCTTTATTTTGTCCATGCAAGAGCTGCTGCCCATATAATGAGCTATTTATGCAAACTGTAAGCAGCAGGTGAAAATTAGTTTGTGTTCTTAGATATTGTTTTGTGATTTATTCCTCGATCCTGGAATAAAATTGAAATTCCACTCTTAATTAAGAATCTATGGGCAATATATATATATGTTCATTAGATTAGATAGTTGTATACGACTTCTTCATTTTGCCACAATGAAATTCTAATAACCATCTTTCGCACACCTGCATATTCTATCAAACATTCAGGATTTGAATTAGAGTGATAAATTTTACATTCTTTATATATTTCTTGTATACTGACTTCTATCACCGTTGATTATAGTACTTTTGCCTTCGTCAGTCTTCCGTTAATTAATGCAAGAAATTATCTAAATGTTAAAACTGAAATTTCAACATCTCAATCTTAATTAATATTTAATACAAAAAAAGTCATGAAATATTTAATAAAAATAATTAAGATTTTCTTAGAGTATATTAAAATTTAATGATATTCAATTGAAATAATTATAATTTTTTAGGATTACGTTATAATCTGTTAATATTTAATTAAGACATTTTTTTACTTAAAAAAAATCTACTAGTATTTAAAAATATAAAAATTTCAATAAATTATTTTAATAGATGAATTTTGTAAGATTTTTTAGTAAAATTTATGTATAATTTGTTCATCTAACAATTTTATCAAAATTATTGAGATTTTTGTATGACTTTTTTCTTGTTTATTTTTTTTTTCTCTCTCTCCTTTTTTGTTTTTGTTTTTTTTTTCCCTCCTCGCCCTCTTTTTCTCTCTCATTCTCTTCCTTATCTCATTTTTTTTTTCTCATTCTTTTCTTCCCTCTCTCCCCTCATGTCTTCTCTATCTTATATTATTTTTTTATTCATCTCTCTAGTTTATTTTTTCTTCTCTCTATTTTTTCTTCTATTTTTTTATCTATCAATATTTTTTTGTTATATTTTTATCTATCAATATTGATATTTTATCAATATTTGTTTTATAATTAGTAAATATTTAAAGTTATTTTTAAATTATTAAATATTATATATTGTTAAAATTTTGAAATTTGACCAATACTTATTTTTAATAAAATTTAATATTGAAATATCAAATTATTCAACATATATTAAAAATATATTTTAACAATTTTACACATTAATGAATATAACAAATTTGAACATAATATTTAAATTCAATAGTATGAATGAAAAAATATAAATGCATAAAAGGATGTATGTAGAGAAATGTTAGTTAAGAAGACATTAAATCAAAATCAATTATTTATTAAAGATTGAAAATTTTATTGATTTTATTTTTTATATATAAATCTTGTCATTTTTGTATGTAGAGAAATTGTATTATTTTTAAAAAAATTCATATTGTCCTTTGAAATCTTAACACCCTTTCAAATCTTATAAATTGTTAAGATACAAATTCATTAAAATCCATGTTATAAAATCCTGATTAAAGAAGACTTTTAAAAAGATCTTAAAAGTCATTATATTCTTACGAATTCTTTTGAAAAAAAATTAAAACTCATAAAATTTATACAAAATCTTTTAAAATATACAAGAATTTTTTGTGTTAAAAAAGTCTTATGAAATCTCAATCTAATACACTCTCATTAATCATTACCAACAATTCGAACATGGTTTCAATTATAAGTTTTAAAAATTTTAAAAATCGCAATTAGTTTTCATTTTCAATTTTAATTTAGTTTTAGACTCTTAAATTTTTTCTAGAGTTTCTTATTTTGTTAAAATTAATTTAAGGGTATATATGTTGGTGGAAATATCAATATTAGTCAATAGTGCTAGTGTTGTTGGTAATAAATCGGTGTTGTTAGTGATGATGATATAATAGTGACGATAATGGTAGTTGTAATATTAACAATAATGATAATAATGATCGTGATAATACGACAATGATAGTGATAAAATGATGATACTATCTTGTTGTAAGTGGTAGTGGCAGTATCACAATGATAATGATGATGATCATGATAGTAGTGATGGTGTCAACGGTGATTGCCTGTTATAAGAAGGATTATGTCAAATAATAAATATAACAAGAGGGTGTTTTTTTCAAAATTCATTAACAACCAAATTCACAATTTTTCTTCATTTTAAAAAAACATAAAAGTGTTTAACAAATTGAGTTAAAAATATTTAAGCTCCATTTTAAAAATAAATGTAAAAGTGTTTCAAAAGGGAGAGATAATAGAGAAAAATAGAAATATAAAGGGGCAAAAGGGAAGTGTGGAGAAAAGACACACACTAGAAGATTGTTGAATAGTGTGTATCAAAAACTCATACACTTGTGTAACGAAAAGAAAATAACTTAACAGATGAAGCCTTAGAGAAAAGTAAAATGAAACATTGAAATTTTTATACCAGCTTATCTCAACCACCGAGACTACATTTAGTTCTCAATCCAATCAAATTAAGTTTCACTAAATTTTAAATGAGATACAAATATTTTTTCAACAAGCTACTTTTGACTCAATTCTAAGTAGTTTTTTACTTACCTCTTTAAGCAACTATCCAAGTATTCTTTGAACAACAAGTCTTTTCAAGCTCGGTACCAAATATTCTTTCAAACAAGTATCTTCAGGCTCAATCCTTACAACAAAGGTTGCAGAAGATAATAAGGTTATTTCATCTATTTTAAACGTGTTGCAACTAATAATGAAAGTACAAGTGATCTACAAAGAATCATATATAAAATTCATAATGAATGTTTCTTTTTATGAGTTTTTGCTTTGTGTTTTCTTCTTTTATATCTCAAAGGCTTGATCTTTATATAGTAGCTCTAGATCTAAAAAAGATGACTGTAGTGGTAATTTTGAGTTAAACTCACGAGTTGCTTTGTTTGTCTTCAATACTAGTCATAAAGGAGAGAGGTTACCATTGCTTTATTTAATATGAGTATTAAATGTTTTTAAGTAAAACGTATATCTTTTATCTGATATAGCAGACTACTTGTCATTATTTATTTCTAAAATGAGCATAGCCGAAGTAATATCAACACAGAATAATTAAAGCCAGCGCTGAGCAATTCTTTCAAAGCCTTTTTGTTTTTTTTTTCGTGATATTCGATCTTTTGCCTTTTGCTTCTGGCGGATAATTTAACTTTTCCTTTCTTTAACGAATTTCGAGAGTTCCAAAACATCTTTCTTTTCTGTAAATCATTTATTGAAATTTATTGTTAGTCTCGTGTAAAAGTTTACATTTAGTACATAATGAGTCGGGCTGTATGCTTCGTCTAATTCTCTTCATTTGTCAGATAATATACATTTTACACTTTATCTAATATAGAGTATTTTGTAGATAATTTATCTTGATTAAAAAAAATATTTTATTTGTTATCATTAAAACTTGAGGAATTCAAAATCGTTTTTCAACTTAACATGAAGATAGAACAAAGAAAATAAGTATAGATAAAAGATACATAGTAATATAGTTAAGATAAGAGAGAAAAAATGAAATATTTCAAATTCTTACTTTTGAGAAAAATTCAAGATTCTATAATTTTAAAGAATTTAACACATACTTAAATTTGGAATTCTTTACAAATTATTCCTCCAAATAAAATATTTCACCCCAAATTATTTAATTTTTTTTTTAAACTACTTCATTAAAATGTCTCATCCAAACACATTATTAATTAATTAATTAATTAATTATTAATTAGTATTATTATTATTATTATTATGCTTGCTTGCATTATCGTATCTTGTAAAAGTTCAAAACATTTGATACATAAAAAAGTATTTTTCAATTATATGCAAAAATATAGTAAAAATGATGTAAAGTAGTCATATTTTTCCTTTTATTTATTTATCAAAAACAATTTCTCCCTTTCTTATATGGTAACATAGTTACAACATTTATTTTGTACCAAAAAATATTTACAACATTTAAAATAAACTATTTGATTTAATAATGATATTTTTTTTGTAAGAAGTAACTTTTACAAGTTCCATTTTTTTTTTAGCACAAACACACACATATATATATATATATATAAGGGTTATAATAATATTGGTGTAACTTTTACTAAGTATTACATTGTTTAATAACTTTATATTAATTGTGAATTTTGTAAATCCAACCGTTAGATTGAAAGTTCATATCACTTTATGTGTATATCAAATTTTATTTAAGTTGAACAACAACTTGAAGGTAATCAAAGTGACCATATTTTAGTATATTTTGAAATGAATATATTAATTTTATTTTATAAAAATATAGTATCAAATCATCCTAGATTAATATAAAATTTTGTTTATATAATCTAGGAATAAAGAATTTAGTATAGTTACACCGATATTATTATAACCCTCATATATATATATATATATATAAATTTTATTATAACTTTTTTAAACAACGAAATAAAATTTTATTTTATCTCATTTATTTTGTTTTCTCTTGACTTCCACTCTCCTTGCCCTCTTGTCATTCAGGATCTTGATAATGTGAATTCATTTCTGTTTTTGAAAAAGAAAAAGAAAAAGAAAATTCAAAAGATATTTTCTTATGGGGGTCCATAAATGAAAGCTAGCTACGCTGGCATAGAGAATGGAATTAAGGAAAGGGTAAGTTTTGGGTCTCAGTCGAGGACAGACCAAAAACAAGTTTTCAATTTTTTTTTATAAATATATTAATAAATAGAGGTTTATGATATATACACTTCTTTTTTTTTTTTATAAGTACACATTTTTTATAAAAAAAATAATTAAAATTTTAAAATATTCTTAAATTTTTTTATTTTTTTATTTTACATTCACAACATTTAATTTAGAACTCTTTTTTACACATTTTTCTCATTTTTTTTAATTTTCACATGCACCCCTTATTTTGGTCAGTAGTTTTTTAATTTTGCATTACTTTCTTTTCCCTTTCTCTTTCAATTTTCTTATTATTACCCCCTCTCTCTCCGCTTTTAGTTTTCACATACATGTAAAACGTAGAACTAATTTTCAACAATATAATAGGTGTGTGACTTTCTTGACAATGTTTTTTTACATATTGTTCCGGAAAGTACTTTCTGAAAGTATGTAAAAAACACAAAGATCCTTCTAGAACACTAATTTCACTATCCTACACAGTATTCTAGAATAGTGAATTTTTTTCTTCATAATACTAAATTTAATATTAAGGTTTTTTGGAGGGGTGAAAAGAAAGGAAGTGTTAGGAGAAAAAAATATGTGTCTAGTTTGATAGAAACTGTCGAGGAAGTCGCACATACCTATAATGTTGTCACGTACCAGTTCTACGGTCTGGTCTGGATACATATAAAAAGGTGAAAGTGGTGAGAGAAGAAGAAAATAATGTAAAAATCGAGAGACTTAAAATTATCTATTAAAATAGGTAAGAAATTGGAGGAAGAAAAAATTGTACATGTAAAAATTGAAAGAGAAAAAAAATATATATAAAAAATAGTAAATTAAAAGTTAAAGATATAAAATTAGATAAATAAAAAAACTATAAATATTTTATAATTTTTTTTAAAAAAATAAAAGAGGTATATATATATCATAATCTTAAATAGATAGAAGTGAAAAGCCCATTTGAACTCTTTGGCAACCAGGCCCAGCCCATTCCACGGGTCCACGCTATATACTTGTTCCTCCCGCCGCGCGAAACCCTAGCTAGGGTTTGGCCTGCGGTACTTTCTCTGCTCTCACAAGACTTTCCTATTAGATTTTCTACCATTTTTCTTCTGCTTCCTTCGCCGAGTCCAATTCTCACTTTCTCTTTCTCTGCATTTTTGTTCGCAGCTTTTAGATCTATATCCACCTAGCCCTTCATTTGGAAAACCCCAAGTTTCAAACATGAGGTACGCGTTCTCTCGTTTTATACCTGTCTCTGGTTGCATATCTTCGCTTGTTCGCGCGTTTCACTGTGAATGCAGTGCTTTTAATTGTTTTTCCATTGATAACCGATATGTACTTTGTGTGGTGCTTATGACTTTAATGGAATGTATTCAGTGGAAGTGGTCTACTCTAGTTTTTGTGGTCTCTGATCTGTTTTGGGTGTTGGTTGTGCAGTAAGCTTCAGAGTGATGCTCTTAGGGAGGCAATCTCAGGAATCATGGCTGATTCCAAGGAGAAGAACCGTAAATTTGTGGAGACCATTGAGCTCCAAATTGGACTGAAAAACTATGATCCCCAAAAGGACAAGCGTTTTAGTGGCTCTGTCAAGTTGCCCCACATCCCTCGCCCCAAGATGAAGATATGCATGCTTGGTGATGCCCAACACGTTGAGGAGGTAAGGAGCTGCTTTAATCATCAAACTCTTTTGTGAGATTTTCAATTGGGTGCAATGTTTTATTGTCCGGAACCCCAAGTTCATCTGAATATTTTATTTTAGATGACCCCTGGTTTGTATGTTTGGAAACACTTTAATTGTGCAACACAATTTATTATTTAAGTGATTGTCTGCAGTTAGTGGTGTGCTATTTGATTTGGTTTTTTAAGTTATTGGTTGTAATGACTGCTTTGTTGAGTAATTTTGAGGTGACACCACTTTTGTAATTTTGTAACCGCCATTCAAGGAGAACAATGTTCTTCGAATTGGGTAGTGAATATTTTATGTCGTGTTTTAGTGTATTGTTCAATTCTTATCATTCAATTGTTGTTAATGTCCATGTCTATTATTATAATTCTAATTTGTAGGCCGAGAAGATAGGATTGGATTACATGGATGTAGAGGCATTGAAGAAGCTTAACAAAAATAAGAAATTGGTGAAGAAGCTAGCCAAAAAATATCACGCTTTTTTGGCTTCTGAAGCAGTCATCAAGCAAATTCCTCGTCTCTTGGGACCTGGTCTCAACAAGGCAGGCACGTTTTATTGTTTTGGGTTTAGGATTTTGATCCTCTTGGATGTTCTAGAGTGTACTTGGTGATTTGCTTGTTCTGATCAGTTCACATAATACATTGCTGTGTTCTTGTTAATTTCTGGTCACATTGCGCTATATTGTATTTACTTGGATGTTTTTAAACATTAACTACATAATTTTTTTAAGTGGCTTTGGTTATCCTTTTGAATTGGCTCTACTATCCCTTGCTTTTAATTTGATTCCCTGCTTTTTAAAATTGTTATATTTTGGGTTTCTGATTTCAATATTGCTTTAATTGAACCTTATTTTGATATTTTGCACCACTTTGCAGGGAAGTTCCCAACACTTGTGACTCACCAAGAAACTCTCGAGTCAAAGGTTAATGAGAGTAAGGCTATGATCAAATTCCAGCTTAAGAAGGTGCTCTGCATGGGAGTAGCTGTGGGGAATGTTAGCATGGAGGAAAAACAAATCTTCCAAAATGTACAACTGAGTGTTAACTTCCTTGTCTCATTGTTGAAAAAGAACTGGCAGAATGTAAGTACTCCACTCTTAAATATGGGAAGAATAGGTGCTTTGTTATCTTTTATTTCCCTGGATTTTTCTTGAAGTTGTATGTTTAATAGATGTCATTATAGGAAGTCCTAAATATTAGGTGTTCACTGCCTTCGATTTCCATATTTGTTTTTGCTTAACTTAAGCATACAGAATGTGACTTGTAATTAATGGAGGGAAAATTAGGAAATGCTGTTGTAGTTTTGCAACTTTTGAATTTTTTTTACGTCAAATAGCTTTAGAAAATTGTGTTGGTATCAATTTTTTTCACTGTTTTAATTTTTTTGGCCAAATAATTTTAATTTTTTCATTGTTTTGATTGGCCATAATAACTCTTTAATAGTGCTGATGCTGTTGTGCGTGTGATTTTTTGTTGTTTTGTCAGTACTTGCAAATTGCAATATTTGATCTAGTTGAACCTGCTAATCGATTGAATGTAATCTATTTTTTTATTTTTGATTTCAGGTAAGGTGCTTGTATCTGAAGAGTTCCATGGGGAAATCGTACCGTGTCTTTTGAGTGGCTGTTCTTTAATTCAGTGAATTTCTGATCGCACTTAGTTTGCTTATTTATCTTGATAGGTGGACATAATTTTTCATCGTTCTACAATTTTGTTGGATGAGTATTTTTGGTTAATATTTCTTGTTATTGATATGCTATGTTTCAAGTGCTTTGCAATGTCGGATAATTTTAGGGGTACTAAATTTAAGCTACCCGTGTTTTTACTATACAACTCATTGCGCTGACTATCATGACTACATCGTGTTTGAGTGTATTCTATAATTTTAGGATTTCGGGTTTATTTAATATATCTTTTTTTTATTTATAAGAAATCGATCATTAAAATATACCTTTTTTCTATAAGAAATCGTTCATTAAAATCGAGATTTATTTAAATTGAGACTCATTTAAATTGATAAGTTTGGTCAGATTTGAGTTTAAATAATACAATTTGGGAATTATATTAATTTGGATTATATTTAGAAATCGATCTGACCATTGATCATTACTAGTTGTGGATCATTTATTGCAACTTTTTGTGTTATGTTTATTTTTGTATTACTCGCCCTTTTCATGCCATTTTACAATATTTTTGTGATGTATATAAAAGACCAATAGGTGAATATCAATTATATTCTTAGTATTGAGCTTATAGATATTGTTTATTTTTAGTAGAGAAGTTTCTAGAAGTGTTTCTAGATTGAACCTAAATAGGGTCTAGGGTCTATGTTTAATATGGTTTATGGGTTTTTCTTAAGGGTGCCGGCCAGTCCACCACCACGGGTATAAACGTTGGCCACAGCCTACCCCGATATCCAAGCCAGATTAGTAGGCTTCTTAGCTTAAACACAAAATGTTGCAAGGAATCATCTTATTTCTTAAAGTTTACAGGGATGATATTTTCAATTAATAGTTAACGATTATTTTTTAAAATATAAAAAATATTGTATCAATTTTACTCGTTTCAATTTAGCCAAACTTTTCTCACACAAATGGTCATAAATTAAAGTCGGGATATTATGCTTGAGTGTGATTATCTATCATTATACTTTTGGTAATGAACAATTCGCCACAATTATCTACCTGTCGGAGTTTAATATTCTTAACGTTATACTTCTAAGTTTATTAGCATGGACAAACATTACATATATAAATGCATACTAGTATCTTTTCTTACAACAGATAAAAAAGGTATATATTATTTATTTTTAGGATGTGTATAATTTTTTTTTGAGATGTTAATTTGTACGTAATTATGTTCTCAATGAATTACAAAACACATGAAAATCATTTTGCATATGACCTTTATAAGAAGGGTTCACTTCCCAAGAATGAGGGACAATATAACTATGAGTTCGGAACTAAATTATATAAGTACAAAATTTAGGTATCATTTTTCATGTGTTCCAAGTATTTTCTCTACTTTAAAATTAATTTTAAAATTGTCAAAGTAAAATTATAAATTTGACAAGAAATAATAGTGAAAATATCTAAAAATCATATTTTAATTTTGTCCATAATATATATATATATATATAGAATGATTTATAATCACTTTTCATTTCAACTTTTTTTTTAATATATTTATTCTTACATTTTTAAATAATGTTTTTTTTTTTAAAATTAATCTCTCTTGTAACTCAAGTAAATTAATCACTTATAATTAGTTAAATTTTTAATATTTAATATTTGATTTTTTAAATAAATATATAGTCTGGGTCTACCCACTAGTTAATAATAATATGGAACACGTGAAGAGTAGAAAATGGATATAGAAAAAGTATGTAGCAGGCGGACATTAGAAAGTGAGGCATGTGGCCATAAATAATTCCCGGTGGCTATTAGGATCTTTGACTCTTAGGCCCAAGCCCAAGCCCAAGCCCAAGCCCAAGCCCAAGGAGAAGCCCAAGGAGGAGGTAGAAGGCGATAAATAAAGTTTTGGCTCTCTTGGTTGACCTCATACAGTCCTCTGTTGTCCAAAAATTCCGACAAAACAAAACAACAGGAGTCGGTAGTAATTGAACCGTAAGCCTTCTCTTCCTCAGCTAATGAAATCCTCAATATAATTTCATTTTCTTTTATAACCCTTTCCTTATAATCTTATCGAAACGGTCGGGTTAGGGTAGCAACACACAGTTAACACCGTTGCTTGTGTTCTATGCATAGCAAGTGTTTGATAATATTCACTCTGCTCAGTGCTCAACTCCATGCTTGTGTGGTTTTGGTTGTACTTTTGGAGCCTCGAGTGAAGAGCAGAGAGCCACTCGCTTGCTTCTTCTCATGTTGCTCCATAAATCAATTGCCTTATAAAGTGACAAGGACTGGAAATCATTCCATTTCATTGTCAAGTTTATTGGCATAAATTTGTGAACTGCTATCGTGTGAAAACAATCCACAATTTGTTAGGATTGGATTTACCATACCTCTGCCTAACTTTAGAATAGATACATAGTTGGAGGTTTTTGGAAAGGGGATGTATAACAAGCCACGTTGGAATGAGAATAACTTAGCTCACAAAAGCATCTAAATTGTTCGTTTATTATTTTGTTCACGTGGATGGCATGAAATACTATATATGAAATATTTCATGTTTGTACAAGACACATCTAGTTACATTTCGGAAGTGAGTATAATGAAAGCAATATTGGAGATATACTAGCATTGTTTCTTCTCAAGATTTGGTTTTCCTAAAGTGCACCCCTGCACTCTTGAGGGTAAACTGTGGAATCGAGGAGCCAAATCTTAGTTGTTAATCGAAAATTCATTCTTTTTATGTTTATACTTTTAAATGTAATCAGCAATAGCAATATTATGCATTAGATGAACTTAAATCTCTGGCCAGCCTTTTGTTGTAATTTAAGTTATACTTATTCTTGAAATTTCGCCTACCTATGTTGAGTGTTAACCTTACAGAACTTAATTTGAATCCAGGTTGGTTTCTGTTATTGACTTTTTAATTCATTGAATATGATATATTTTAACTCCTACTATGATTTGTACTAATTGCCCCGTGAGTTCTTCCATAAATTTTGTAGTATCAATTCATTTTCAGGGTAGTCATGTCAACCATGTCAATTACGAACATTTCCCTCCATTGTGTGTTCCAAACTGCAAGCCAAAATCGATTCAGCACTGCTGCCAGAGTGAAGTGCCCTTCCTCTTTTGGGTCAGTGAAGAATGTTTCCCGATTTTTCGGCTTGAAGTCATCATCTTCATTTGGAGTGACTGCCATGGCTGCTTACAAGGTTAAGCTAATTGGTCCAGAAGGAAATGAACACGAGTTCGATGCACCTGATGATAGTTACATCTTAGATTCAGCAGAGAGTGCTGGAGTTGAACTTCCATATTCGTGTCGGGCCGGAGCATGTTCTACCTGTTCTGGGAAGATTATTTCTGGTTCGGTGGACCAGTCTGATGGGTCATACCTTGATGACAAGCAATTGAAGGAAGGTTTTGTGCTAACCTGCGTGGCATATCCAACTTCAGATTGTGTCATTCATACTCACAAAGAAAGCGATCTCTACTGAGAATCACTGGCCAGAAACTTGAGAGCCCTTGCTTGATGGAGGAGACTTGGGATGTTAGGTAGACATTGCAGCCATTCTGGATTGTTCTCATTTGCAGCATTGTTAGTTTGTTGCGTATATGGGGAGTGTAAGTTGTTTAGGATAATAAACTATTTTTTGTGCCAACAAACTTTGTTGATTAAAATAAAATAAAATGAAATGTAACTTTGCTTGGCATCTAAAAGTTTAAGTGGTCTTTTTAGTGACTTGTGCCATATGCGCCTATGTTGCTGTTGGATGGTTGCTTTTCTGATATAGAAAACAGAAATGTTAGTATTCCAGTATGCAACATTTTTTTTACAGTCTTGGGAACATATTTTTTATCGTTAGTTGAAATTTATTAAAAATAATCGTTTTTATGGATTGCACTTTTTTTTGGTTAATTTTTTTATTAAAAATTAATTAATAGTATAGTGTGTTAGAAAAATGTGCCCTTATTAAGGAAGCCACCTTCAACAGACCTTTGCACACCTGCACCTTTGAATCGCATGACCTCATATCAACGGGGAATTGTATGATGACTTTCTGTAATATTTTGCTATGAAGGAAGAGGGATTAAAGAATGGAGAATTATAAATTAGTTGAAATAAATTAATCATGGTTGAAATTTATTATAATAAGGCTGTTTCTAGGGCCGATGAAACCATTCTAATTGCCAAGGATGTGTTTAGAAACATGTTTGTATTGATGTTGTTGTTTTCGAACATCACTTAAAATGCCTTTTAATCAATGAAAATAACTGTCTATATAAACTGATGTCCATCCTTTTGTTTGAACGATATGAAATTTTGTTTACATCCCAACAATCCTCCCCTCAAACAAAAAGTAATGGTTTTACCTCCCTCTTTTTAATGAAAAACTATCGGTCCACAAATATATCCAATAGTGGAATTTTCCCGTCAAACAAAGGATCATGGTTTTACATTCTTTTTCAGTCCACGAGTATATCCAATAGTAACTAATAAAGTTTAGTCACATTTTAAGTACTTGCACTGTTGTTCCATCGTGAACTCATAATAGTGAAACACGCCTTATAATCCTCTATGTTACGAGGAGAACACTCCTCCATATATAAACTCACTGTTAAGAAAATTACTTTCGATATAAGGGATTAAATATTCAAATCCACCCGTACTTTCGATATAAGAAATCTAATACCCAAATCCCTCCATGTTACCAAGAGGATACTCCTCCATATATGGACTTATACCCAAATCTACCTTTTCTTTCTATATAAGGGATCCAATATCCAAATCTTGCCGACTCAATCATAGTCACATTTGATATCACTTATTATATATTCGAGGATTTCAGCACATACACATATCTCTATGTTGGTAAAATATTGTTCATTTTAGGTTCAAGTTCTCACAGTTTTTCTTTTAAACATTATCCAAAATGCTTCTTGATCAAACAAGACAACTGTATATATATAAATCTATGTTCGTCCTCTTGTTTAAATGATGTAGAACTTTATTTGCATCTCAACTAATATAAATTAGAATTCACACATTTCAATACATTAAATTTAGAAGTAAATTTTGACTTTTTCATTGGAGTTGATTTTAGAATTTTTCAATCGAAACCAGCCATGTATTGACTAGTCCATGTAAGCACAATATTGACGACATAGACAGTATTAACAAATTTGTAATTTATCTTTGATTTGATTTTATTTCTCTCATTCTTTTTACCGTACGCCAGTACTTAATTTGACCATTTCCTTATAGTAACTGCGCAATTAAATGATGAGTAGAAAAAATGGGATCTCATGGGTGTATCCTATTCCTCTATAGAAGTAGACCATTTAAACATGGTGGAATTGCTAAAATTAAATCATGGTTAGGTGATAAACGAGTCACAAGTGGAATTTTTGTACATTTATTTATCACGCTAACCAACAGAAATTGACACTTTGGCAAGTAGCTATTAGCATGCGGTGGTGTTATTGTTATAGAAAGCATTGCCATAACGTGATAATGCTCGCTGCAATGTCCGTTGCCACCAACCCCATCCAAACCAAATAAGTTATCTGTTTGGTCAAATCGGTTTCATCATATCTAACTCTTTCTCTCTTTTCCCTCTTTAATTCATCATGCCAAACGATGTCTAACTTTTTAGCCCATGATGGTGACAAATCAGAAGAGTGCTTTTTTAAGCGTCGCTATCCAACTTTCATAAGCACGCACGTCAAGCTGACGTTCAATGATTTCACTCCCAACGGGATTTTCCATCCATTTGCGGTTAAGCACGTTTTTTAAATATATATTTTATTTTACAAGTAGACACAAATAAATAAATATAGTTATTGGTATATTATTAAAATATTATAAAAGTATTTAAATATTTTATAGCGATTAATTGTGTTGCGAGATTATTGACCAACACATGAAGTTTTTTTTTTTGAAGAGTAAATATGATTAATTTTATTTTACAAATAATTAAGAATAAATAAATATATATTGATGAAGTAATTTAGTAGTGATTAGTTTTTCCTCATAAATGATTAATGGTGTTATAAAGTTATTAAAGTATTTATAATAATTTATGTCACCTTGCATGTGATTTTTCTACACATAAATACTAAACTTGTTGAACCAACTGAGCTATTTTTCGGAAGAAAAAAAACTGAGCTATTTTTATTTTTATTATTATGCTGAGGCAATGGTCTAGGTACTCTATTTACATTTTGTCTTACTTATTTATATATATATATATATATATATATATATATATATA